CGACACTGAATTGTACATATGTGAAAAGTCCCAATCTTAGTTTTTCATTTCAAGCATTAGTGAAAAACAACTGTAACTGTATAATTTCATATATTTCTATCATTACTAAGTGTGTTTCTATACGCTTCTGAATTTTAGTAAAGGCATACATTTATTAAAACTGATCACGTTTTTATGAATTTAAATCTAAAAATATTTGTCGATATTTGAATGACCATATACAACAATTACATGTTCTCAAAACATCAAACCCGTAAATATTCAATAGTCATTTTAACTGTTAATATTTCAAAGATGTAAAAATACCTAAAATATTCCTTCTGAAAAGCAATTAACCAAAAACTGCGATTTGTGAAATTTGCATTTATTAATATATACACAAAGGTAAATTAAATTAATTACCCAATGTTTCTGTGGTGTCTTAATGGTTAGGAATGCACACTTTTAATAGAAAGATTGGTTCGAATCCCTGACCAGCAAGGCACCACTGAGGTGCCCTGAGCAAGGTACCGCCCCCAAGCACTGCTCCCCGGGCTGCTGCCCCCTGCTATGTCACGATGTCACATATGGGTTAAATGCAGAGGACACATTTTGTTATTGTGCACTGTGTGCTGTGGTGTGTCAACAAGGACCACTGATCATCAAATTCAATTAATTCAATCAATAATAACCCTGTCGCATGCTCTTCCTCATTAAGTGCCTTTCCACCATCATACCGATGCCCAAAATATCTTGCATAATGGGACTAAATGACAACAGGCCAGTTGCTCTGGGATCTTTGGTCATGAAGACCTTGGAAAGACTGGTTCTTGCCCATCTGAAGGACATCACTAGCTAACTAAGGCACCAATGCAAGGATTTGGTTTGTGGATTTCTGCTCGGCCTTTGACATCATCACCCAGGAGCTCCTCCACTTCAAACTCACCCAGTCCTCTCTGCCTGCCCCCACCTGTCACTGGATCAGCAACTTCCTCACAGACAGGAAGCAGCAGGTGAGGCTGGGGAGACTCAGATCCAGCTCCCACAGTCAGCACTGGTGCCCCCAGGGATGTGTGATCTCCCCACTGCTTCTCTCCCACCACACCAACGGCTGCATTTCCAAGGACCCCACTGTCTAACTCCTCAAATATGCATATGACACAATAGTCACTGGATTCATCAGTAATGGTGACGTGTCCGCATACAGGTGGGAGGTTGAACACCTGGCCTGCTGGGGTGGTCATAATGACCAGGAGCTGATCATGCTCAAAACCATGGAGATGACAGTGGACCTCAGGAGGAACCTCCCAACACTGCCACCCCCCCCCCCCCCAATCAACCCTGACTGTGTTTCCCATGAAAACCTATTTTGAGATGTACAATCTCAAAGGACAACAAATGGGAGACCAACATAATCCTCATCACAACAAAGGGCCAGCTTAAGCTGTACTTACTGCACCTTCAGAATCAGGAAAAATTATTGATCCCGGAAGGAAATTGCTTAAGTTCAAGCTGCCACCGAAGCCAGTGATGCCCTTTTACGCAACATTCAGTGAGTCCAGCTCAAGTGAAGCACTAAGAAAAAAAGTCCAGCAACGAATAGTCAGGTATGCAGAAAAGATCATTGGCATTATCCTGCCCCCCTCCAGAACCTGTACTCATCCTTAGTCAGGAAACGGGCAGAAAATCACCATGCACCCCTCATACCAAGGAACTTCTCCTCTCTACCAGGCGCTAAAGATCACTGTACGTCGAAACAAAGAGGCACAAGAACAGCTTCCTCCCACAAGCCATCATCCTCATGAACAGTTGACCCAGTTGCCTCTGCTCAGTTTGCACTGTTACCCTCTTAACAAGCAATACCTCATTGCTGTAAATAACTCAATGTGCTTTTTGTACTGTTTTGTACATACTGTACTCATTGCAGCAGTTCCTGAACTGTCATGCAACTGTCAGTGTCCTGCACTTGTTATACATTTATTGACACATTCACATCAACCGAATTGTATGTGACAATTGTCTTGTCATGTCTCCTGGCAACTGTGTATGTATCTGATGGACGTATGGAAATCATTTACAGCCGGAGACAAATTCCCTATCTGTGTCAATATACTTGGCCAAATAGACCTGTTTCTGGTTCTCTGCCTGCAACCTTGGGCAGTTTAAGCGGCAGGAAAAAGGACGCCTTTTAACGGGAATACCACGGCTGGCCACTAGAGGGTGTGTGGGTATCAACATTCATGAACTTTTACATCAGGTCTAAGTCTGAGACTGGTATAATAAAGTATCGTTTGCAATAATTCGGGTATTTGATCAAAGGATGATTCCGGCTCAATTCAAAACATGGTCCATGCTCAAAGGGTTTTATTGAGCTTCAAATCTGGTCTCATAGTTTGTGGTGAAATGCGCATGGTGATGGAGACAAACTGCACTGTTTTCAAACTGCTGTTTGTTGTTTAAAATATGAATTGAATGAATGCTTTTGGTCATTTAATTAAATACTTAAACAAAGAAAGCTCAAATGTCACTCAGTTAGTGCACTTTATGTTATCTTTCTATAGTTCACACACTTCTGTAGTATACTAGAGGCGGAATTATTCAAGTCATCAATCATTCAGTTATAAAACCAGAACACAAAGAAACAGGAAATAGAAGCAAATCAGCCAAGGAAACAATAAAGTAATAAAGAACTTGCTAAATCTGTCAAACTAGCTAAATGTGAATATCTGAAATATGTTGTTGCTATTAAAGGTATACCAAAACTTATATTTTTATATTTTGTTGTAGTTTGAGCTAAGCTTAAACTTCTTTCGAGTCAGAGTTACATGTGTGTTTCTCGGCATACATTTAGTAGCCAAAATTGCACATTATCTAACATGAAGGAAGTTACTGAGTAATCACTGTCATGGGTTACTCTGCAAAATAAATTAACAAAATTTCCGGGTGCTAAATACTTGGCAATTTGAAGGTCAATAAAACCCTTAAAACAGCAAACACCTTTCTGCTTTTTCAATATGTTGTAAAGGGAACCTAGAACGTTCAAGTGACACAATGAAAGTGACAATATTTTTACACCCATTGAGATTCCACCGATATGGACCATCGATGAGAGAAATTCATGATGTTTGGTGACCTGTAGTGCACCCCTCTTCATAGATTAGAGAAAGACACCAAGTGCACTTGTAGGGTATGGAGTGATGAATACATGCCAAATGTTTGGGGACCATGCTAACAATATTGACAGAGATACTGCCTTTGAAATACTAGTCAAAATTGAACAGGGACACATGTTTAGAATTTTTTTATCTTAAGTTAGGTACAAGATACAAGCTAAATAAAGATACATCTGGAATTTGGCCAAAGACTTGTATATCGACATTTTTTTTTCCAAGTGCCTAGGTGTTACCATTGCAAAGATACAGGAATCTGAATACAGCCGACCATAGTTTGTTTTGAGAACAAAGGAAAAATGTCATTAAATTTCAAGGCAGTGTAACTCCTAAACTATATGAGCTAGGCCACTAGAAATTTTTAGATTTTTCATATTGGCCAAGGGACAAACAAAATACCACATAATGGATCAATTCTCAGATGGTTGAGCATGGACAATACCAAATATTTCTTGAGTTGAGCCAGAATGACCCCAAATTTTTTAAGAATGATACTGAATTATTTGTGTGTTGAAAAAAATGTTTCATTTGCCAGCCCTGTAGAGAATGGAAAGTAGAGGAATTTTCAATAACGTGAACGCATCTTGAAAAAACTTTAAGTCACTATCTCCAAATCAGGAAAAAAGCACACAAAATGAGTGTAATCAAGGCTCAGTAAAGCTATTAGACAGCAGCTGTCAGGGATTTGCGTAAAATGTAATTACAGTCTGCTTCATACAGGTGGAAAGGGCAAAGTCAATAATGCTAAAAAAAGAAGATATTTTACAGACAACTAAATGTGTTCAAAAGTTGGAAAGTAAACAACTTCAAAAACTTTTCTTCAAAATGCTATCCCAAAAGCATTAGAATCAAATATATCTGAAACAAAATCAAAATACTGTACTTGCAAATGGGTGAACATTTTATTATTCATTCATTCATTTGATCATTCAATAATATATTTAGAATTCAAGGGTGCTCTTGTTTGGAAAGTGGATCACTTATTTGTCACCTTTCCCCTGCAAAATAAAAGCATCTTTTTCTTTGGATTTTCTGTGAGAACTCAAATACACTTTCAATTACTTCCCAAAACTGGAAACAAACTGTGCATGAGAACATAAAATGGTAAATTACACCACAACAATAAAGGACAGGAAGAACATGTACAGCCTGCCATTACAAACTAAAGGGAAAGGTTTGTGTGACGCCCGTCCAGAAAGATGTAACAAGAGGATCAGCCTGTGATGGACCTGAGCATCTGAGTGTGCTTCCTACCCAGCGATCAGGTATTCCTGTAGGACTGTGGGCGGGGGGGCAGTAGTTAAGAAATAAATGATAATATGAGATTATTCATGATACTACCCTGGGCTTTACCAACAATGCCCAGTTTGACCAATAATAAACATGACTACTCCCTACCTGGTCCCACTCAGATACCCCAGCAGGACTCTGAGCATAACCCATCCAGCCTGCAAACCCCCCTGATTCAGAGAGGGGCTTCCAGCAGCCTGGACCAGCCTCTGCTACAGCAGCATTTCATCATGTGTCAGCATTAGGGTCCCTTCCGGCAGCTTCTCTCTGCCTGCATGCACTGTACTGTAAAGCCTGCAGTTGATTCCTCCACAGTCAGCACCTCGACTGCGGCCACTAGGAGCAGCATGGACCATGACAGCTGTATACAAACTGTATGGAAGCATACTCAAAGAGCTCAGGAAGCACTGCACCCTGTCACCAGGTCAGCCAAAGAATAGCATGTGTGGGCTGAGGCTAGAACCCCAGCAGAGAAGCACTACTCAAAGCTATCCACTTCCAGCAATCCTTTACAGAGATTGGAGAGGACCAATTCCAGAAGAAACCTCTTGTCTCTCTCACATTCTCCTCATTGACTGAAGCTCTTCCCACACTGGGAGCACAGGTAGGGTCTCTACCCTGTGTGAATCCGCTGGTGCTTCTTTAGGTTTGTTAAATGACTGAAGCTCTTCCCACACTGGGAGCACTGGTAAGGTCTCTCTCCAGTGTGAATCCGCTGGTGGTGCTTTAGGTTTCCTACTTGACTGAAGCTCTTCCCACACTGGGAGCACTGGTAGGGCCTCTCCCCTGTGTGAATACGCAGGTGGATCTTTAGGGTTCCTACTTGACTGAAGTTCTTCTTACAATAGGAACACGGGTATGGTCTCTCCCCTGTGTGAATCCGTTGGTGCTCCTTTAGTTTTCCTAAAGCACTGAAGCTGTTCCCACACTGGGCACATTGGAAGGGGCGCTCTCCTGTGTGAATTCGCTGGTGCTTCTTTAGGTTCCCCACTTGACTGAAGCTCTTCCCACACTGGGAACACTGGTAGGGCCTCTCCCCTGTGTGAATCCTCTGGTGGTGCTTTAGGTTTCCTACTTGACTGAAGCTCTTCCCACACTGGGAGCACTGGTAGGGCCTCTCCCCTGTGTGAATCCGCAGGTGGACCTTTAGGGTTCCTACTTGACTGAAGTTCTTTTTGCAATAGGAACATGGGTAGGGTCTCTCCCCTGTATGAATCCGCTGGTGCTCCTTTAGTTTTCCTAAAGCACTGAAGCTGTTCCCACATTGAGAGCACTTGAAAGGCCTCTCTCCAGTGTGAATCTGCTGGTGTTTCTTTAGGTTTGTTAAGTGACTGAAGCTCTTCCCGCACTGGGAGCACTGGTAGGGCCTCTCCCCTGTGTGAATCCTCAGGTGGATCTTTAGGGTTCCTAATTGACTGAAGCTCTTCTTACAGTGGGAACAGTGGTAGGGCCTCTCCCCGGTGTGAGTCCGTTGGTGCTCCTTTAGTTTTTCTAAAACACTGAAACTGTTCCCACACTGGGAGCACTGGAAGGGTCGCTCTCCTGTATGAATTCGCTGGTGCTTCTTTAGATTTGTTAAATGACTGAAACTTTTCCCACACTGGGAGCACTGGTAGGGCCTCTCCCCTGTGTGAATCCGTTGGTGGTGCTTTAGGTTTCCTACTTGACTGAAGCTCTTCCCACACTGGGAGCACTGGTAGGGTCTCTCCCCTGTGTGAATCCGCAGGTGGACCTTCAGGGTACCTGCTTGACTGAAGTTCTTCTTACAATAGGAACACTGGTAGGGCCTCTCCCCTGTGTGAATCCGTTGGTGTTCTTTTAGTTTTTCTAAAGCACTGAAGCTGCTTCCACACTGAGAGCACCGATAAGGCCTCTCCCCTGTGTGAATCCACTGGTGCTTCTTTAGATTGGTTAAATGACTGAAGCTCTTCTCACACTGGGAGCACTGGTAGGGCCTCTCCCCTGTGTGAATCCCCTGGTGCTTCTTTAGTTTTCCTAAAGAACTGAAGCTCTTCTCACATTGGGAGCAGTGGTACGGCTTCTCCCCAGTGTGAGTTTGCTCGTGCACTCTTAGAGCTCTTAAATCACTGAACTTGTTCCCACACTGGGAGCACTGGTAGGGCTTCTCCCCCGTGTGAATTCGCTGGTGCTTCTTTAGGACTCCTGCTTGAGTGAAGCTCTTCCCACACTGTGAGCACTGGTAGGGCCTCTCACCCGTGTGAATCCGCTGGTGGTCCTTTAAGTTCCCTATTCGACTGAAGCTTTTCCCACACTGTGAGCACTGGTATGGCCTCTCTCCTGTGTGAATTGGCTGGTGCTTCTTTAGGGCTCCTACTCGACTAAAGCTCTTCCCACACTGGGAGCATGGGTAGGGTCTCTCTCCTGTGTGAATCCGCTGGTGGTCCTTTAAGTTTCCTACTCGACTGAAGCTCTTCCCACACTGTGAGCACTGGTAGGGCCTCTCCCCTGTGTGAATCCGCTGGTGATACTTTAAGTTTATTACCTGACTGAAGTTCTTCCCACACTGAGTGCACTGGTAGGGCCTCTCCCCTGTGTGAATCCGTTGGTGGACCTTTAAGGCTTCTAATCGACTAAAGCTCTTGTCACACTCCGAGCACTGGTAGGGCCTCACCCCCGAGTGAATCAGCTGATGCTTCTTTAGGTTTCCTAAGTGACTGAAGCTCTTCCCACAATGGGAGCAGCAGTGAACTTTCTGTTTCACACCAGGACCAAACTCTTCAGGGTGGGATTTCTTCATGTGTCTCTGGAGGAAAGTTTCTATAGTGTAGGATGAGGGACAGTGAGGACAGGGGAACTTGTTCACTCTCCTCCCTGGAATGAGACCTTGGACTGAATAATGAGACATGAAAAAGACAAAAGATGAAATTAGGTAATGGGAACAAAAGTTATGGATTCAGGGGAAATAAATCCATGAGCAAGAATTCAGTAAAACAGACTGCAGACAGCACTAGGTATCTGTGTGATACAGCATGTGGAATTTTCTGGAAGCTGATAGATGTTTCTATAGTCACCTAGGTTTGGAGGTCTGACACCATCCAGCTTCTCCTCAGTCACGTCCTGAAACACTGTTTCTTCTTTCACCTCCCCATTAAAGACGGGACACACTGTACTCTCTGCTTTCTGAGGAAAGGAGAATACAGTCAAAAATTCTTCTGTAAAGAGTTCAACTGGTCTATGGGACTGAAAGCAACATTTTTCAGCATCACACAAAGAAGCAGGGCCAGATCTACCAATGTCTTTACCAGGTATCATACAGGACACATTTTTCCTGACTGATACTGAACACAAGCTGCCCTCAAGCTGCTGCTCTCTCTCCACTCCTAATCCATCTAAGCAGCTCACTGCTGAAGGTACTACAGGGTAAAAGTACAGGTGACATGACAGCAGGCCTGTGAAGGTTTTTAGATACAGACTCACTGTCATAGTTACACTGCTGGATGCAGGACACACAGAGACTGTTTAATTCTCATCTCATGTCACTCCATTTCACCTTGTCAGGGCTGCTGTGCCCGGCCCCGTCCACATCCGATATGAGGACGTCCTGCGCTTCCTCCTTCACATCTGCCACACTTAGCTGGGGAGGTTTCTGGTCCATGATGCAGCTGACCACAGCCCTGCAGGGGGACGTCTGTGAGCAGAAAGGGAACGATGAACATGCATGGAAGCTGTTCATTTAGCAGAATCCTAACACAGAAGATGTATCTGTCCTGCATCATCAGGCTCTGAGCTCTCAGCTCTGCTCTAACTGGGTCATCAGGATGAAGATCCAAAGTATCTGGAAACTTGTCCTGCCTAATGTAGTGGTGTGTGACTCTGTGGAATTGGATTCTGTGCCTGTAATCAGTCAACTGCTGCAGGGACACTCAATAAACGGCAATAATAGCATAGCAGAGAGACAGGACATGTGAAAACTGCAGAATTCCTTTATACTTGTGCAAATGGCAAATAAAGTCTCATCATCATGGCTGGATGGACTTCTGAAGAGGATGCAGTCCTGGAGGCTGGAGCTGCCTCTACTCGACATGTCCATGGCCTGACCTGAAACAACAAAACTAGAACTGAACTTACCTGCTTAGGGCTGTAGTGCAGCCAGCCTTATTCTGGCTTTGCTGAGAAGCCCTCAGGTCACGTTCACGCTGCTCTGTTAGTAAATGCTTTTCATCTCCTGTCTCTGGTCTTGCATGCAGCTAAAAAAAAAGGAAACTCGGTTTGACGTCCACACCAAACTAAAAACAAGTCATTACAGCAACGGGTCTCCAAAACAAGAACCTCAACCTGTACACCAACGTATCTGTTCATCCAACTGTCTGCAAATCCACTCTTCTATGGCTGTGAAATCTGGGTCACCTACAGTCACTACATTAGGTTACTCGAGCAGTTCCATATAGGGTGCATGCAAAGCACCCTGAGTCTGACGCACTGTGGTTCAATGCTTCACACCCATATACTAGAAAAGGATAGAATCACCAAAAATCAACTACAATGGCTTTGCTATGTAATAAGGATCCCTCAGAACCAACTGCCCCGCAGAGTTTTACAGACAATTACATCAAGGCCAATGCTCAGCAGGTGGGAAGAATGAAAGATTTAAAGACCAGATTAAGGTGTCTCTGAAAAGGTGCGGGATTAGACCGGACAGTCTACAGAATGCTGCCGATGACCGTAACACCCGGCCTAACACCTTAATTCCCATTCCCGCCAGCACAATTATCTGGTCCAATTCCCACTTCAATGTCAGCACCATCGGTCATGCACAGCCAGTGTTTTTCCTGTACAGGGAATTACACGGTGCCTCTATCTTTCGACAAAACACTGTCGGGCATCTTCAAGGAAAAAAATACTTTCTAACAAGCGTTGTTCTCAGTAGATTTCTGTCATTTTGAACTGCACCTGCAGCATTAAGTCACCACATCAGTAGTACCAATATGGCAGTGCTGTATCATAATCAGCACAGTGTCCCGGGAAAGGCGCTACCTTAACTACCAAAGAGGAAGAACACTGCTGACATTTTCCTCGAAACAGCATCTTTTTTTTCCCTGTGTGTCCGGCAGCCCTGATATTTTGCAGCTATTCAAACAGGTGAGTATAGAATATAATATATTTTCATCCAAGAATGTATAGCTTCTTAAATAGGTTTCCTAAATGAACTTGCGTCTCATGAGTGTGTCGTTTTCAGCTTTGCAAATACAGCTCATAGGATCTGCGATTACTTTACCAAGCGAGTTTGCGAGGAGGATGATCGTGAGGGCAGGTGAAATGGTGCGGACTTCATCTGATAGGTGCTTAAAAAAATTATTCATGTTACTCACTAGATGTGGTGAATTTGTGCAAGAGATGAGTCAATGTGAAGGTATTCAATTACCAAGTTATTCGGAGTGGATTTTATGTGGTAATTTAACTAAGATATTTGTCAAAGTCAGTAGCTTTTTCCTTGGCTTGCCGATGTAACCTGAGGTAAAAGGCACTCCTATTGTTTCTCGCTGGTTATTTTGCAATATGTTTTTTTTGTCTTACATTAGTCCTTTAGAAACTCCCTTTTTTTAAAGTACAGACACTCCTCACTTAATGAGCTACCTATTTAATGGTCGCCCAGACTGACCACCAGTTCTACAGCCAGTTGGTATTACACGCTGTATGAAAGGGTGGGGCAGCATCTCAGCGCCATGCATCTCATCTCTCATCACTCTTCCTCACTCTCAGTCTCGTTCCCACAGTGGCTCAGTATTCACTACACTAGCATATGCAACCTCTGATTGCTTGTATTTAAAGTATGCAAACCTAAGTAATGTGTATCAGACCTGATTTCCTCTTCTGTTTATTACAGTATACAGTATAATACTGTATAGACATTTATAAAAATACAAAAAATGTTATGAATGGTGCAAAGGTGACATTAAAACAATACCTAAAGATGGCTGACACAAACCCACTACCAGTACAGTGAGCTTGTAAGAGACGGCTCCTCGCTTATCCACCGATTCGTGTAACGATCTAGTCGTAGGAACAGACCTCGGTCGTTAAGTGAGGAGTGTCTGATTTAAAGATGAGCTCCTCCGATTTTTCGCTGATGCAGATTTAATTAGGATAACCTGAAGCAAAACATCTACCCAAAGTTTTATTTTTTCTTTGTGCTTAAATTATGACATTTATATTTGGCACAAAATGTTCTTATTTGGTACAACACACCCATATTTGTCTATTATAAATGAAAATCATTAATCATTTAACGGGTCTCCAACTCCGGTCCTGGAGAGCTACTATCCAGTAGGTTTTCTATCCTACCTGGCTTCTGATGAGCCACACCTGTTCTCAGGTAAATACCAGGACCAGGTGTGGCTCATCAGAAGCCAAGTGGGACAGAAAACCTACTGGATAGTAGCTCTCCAGGACCGGAGTTGAAGATCCCTGATTTAAACCCTTGTCACTGGCATCTGTGTGGAAAACGCAGAGCTTTGTGAAGAGTCAAAAAAGCAAACTGAGAAGAGTGATGAATTTTCCCCAACCTCTCTACTTCTGCAGATGCAGTGAGACTGAAGTCTTTATAATGTTTTTAATGTCACCCATTCTTTAAGAAGGTCACTTGAGGTCATCCGCCCATTCATGAAGCACTGTTGGATAAACTGACGGTCATCTCTGGCATTGGAAAGTCGTTTCTGCCCTCTACCTTGCTGGATTTTGGTCATTGCCAGTGACTCCTGCTTCACCTTATTATTCCGCTGTCTCAGAACTTTGAGCCTGGAAGCAGCCTGCCTCACAGTATAGCAATAGGCAGTCATAGAAAATGTTTAACCTGGACAGAATAATCCCAAAGAATATTGTTTTCTTTGAAAAATGAACTTCACTTAATTTCACTGGAATGTGATTCCAGGACTTTTCCTGCACAGGGCCTCTAAACACCAGCAAGCATATTTTCACGCATTTAAATGATATTCATGTTGATCTAAAACTCTGCTGTCGATATGTGTAAGCGTAACCATTTCAAAACCTCTAAAGTCACCCTAGTAACCGCTACATCTACCAGTGTATTTTTTGACTTGATCATTAGTAAACCATGTTTGGCAAATCAATACCTCACTGACTTTTTAAACTATTTTAAATAAATTAAGTGATCTTGTGATAACATTTATTGTATTCATGGAATGGCTGAGGAGAGGTTTGGGAACTGAAGCAATGTTCTTCTAGCCATCCAACGAGATATGATGACTTTTTGAAGAACATTAAAAATTATTATTAGTTTTTATTGTGTTACTCTTAATATGTATCTATTTCTAGGTTAAAGTGTGTTTTTTTGTTCTGAGCAAACATATTTACTACCCAGATAATTACCTTTAAAGACTTCCTTTGACTGTGGAAGACTTTTCCACTATACTGCATATATAGTGTTCTTCTTCACATCTTTATTAGGCCTACATACATTAATAACTAATAATAGTAAAGTGACTGGTTTAAATTTCATTTTTACATTTACTATCGACTGCAACTATTCATATGCAATGTAATATATCCCCCATTAACGTTTCCTTTAAGAGACGTTTGGTTTCCATATGTTTGTCTAAAACAGAAGAGATGCATTACTTGACAACTATAATAAACAGTTTCTCCGACAAAAAAAAAAAAAAAAAACAATACGTCGCAATGTGCGTGTAGTTCTCTTTGCTGGCATAGAAACTCCAGCATAACACCCGGACGTGCCTGACGGCAGCCGGCCGGACAACCATGACAAATATCAGCAGGTCCCTTTACTGCTTTTTATGGCTGCCGTGTCAAACCGTACATGCACGATTGGATCAGTTACTGTCCCATCAGTGTGGGAATTGACACGCAATCTACCCGGCCAGCCCCACATGCTTGGCCTGTCTGCTGCGTCGTCAGCCTCGACGCCTACCTGCCACACGCATATACTGTATAGGTGCACATTATGGGACGCCCCCGGGCTCAAAAACCCTCGTTAAATTTGCGCGTCTTAAGTACCTATCATCTGTTTTATGCGATGCACAAACTGCGATGTATCCCGGACAGTCTATTTGCGAGGGTATACATTTGTGCGGCAGGGATAATTTGGCTCAACTTAGCAGTAAAAGCCGGCTCTTCCGGTTCTTCATTTATTACAATTTCTGGCTATTATAATTATTACAATTAATGCTGTCACCCGTCCCTTATTACAATGCTGCCTCCCATATTATACGGGACAGACGGCAACTCTTTTTATAATTCGGCTAGAATTAGCAATGTTGAACGTTGTAAATTACCGTTTCGCTACAGATATTATACATGGTGCATCTGGACCTTATGCATAAATGTATGTTATAATTTTAATGCTACGGTGATGTCCATATGTAATTAAATAAATACAGTCGATCCTCGAACAACACGGGTTTGGACAGCGCGGGTCCACTTTAACACGGATTTTATTTTCAATAAATGTATTATTTTTTTTGTCTCATGCAGTTTAAGTCATAAATTCATAAATACGTATAGGCATATATTTTTCTCATTAACATAAAGACAGTATGTATTACAGAAATATATTACGTAAAAAGTAAATGTTAAAAAAGTCCACAAAAGAACGGTGGTTCTGTTTATGGGACGACGATAATCATTTCCACATGAGTAGCTTAAATTAATCGTTATGAATTTCTTTTTCACATTATCTTTTGATTTTTGACATCTAGTGTTAGTGATAGGTATAACATCTACATCTACAGTGTTTTGTATTATATAAGGTAATATTGATGTAGGTACTGACAGACAGACAGACGATTCATCTTGTAAACTTACGATCGAAGTGCACTGCATTGACAAACGAAAAATAGACAACTTATCGTAATTATGACGTACTATCTCCTAATTACGTGATCAGTATCTCTTTTCTTTTGTATCAATTTGTTTCCGTAAAATTTTGCTTTGGGCCCCGAAATGGCTTATCCTGGCACCGTATATAGGCGTCGGGATCCCAGCCTTGGTATTATCTGGTAACGGACCGAAAAGAAAACCAGTGCTATCACCCGTCCATAATTACTCACCCTAAATCTCTCACATCTCTTCCTGCTACTCCGCTGCCGAGAAGAACATAACGTCAAGGCGTAATGACGTATTGAACACGACGACGTCTTACGCAATGCGCTTCATGGCTTTTTTGCCGGACGACGCTGAATTGTAGGTATATGTGGAGAAAGTCCCAATCTTAATTTTTCCTATCTAGTATTAGTGAAAATCAACCCTAATTGTATAATTCCATGTATTTGTATCATTACGAACTAGGGGTATGTACGCTTATGCGTTTTAGTAAAGACATACATTTCTTAAAACTAGTCACGTTTTTATTCATTTAAACTTAAAGATATTTCTGGCGATATTGTGCAAATAACTGAGCTAGATGTTACAATAACAGACAAAAGCTTGTACGTTGTTGAAAGAATATATGCAAAAATTAAATGTTCTCAAAACATACATCAAAGCCCTAAATTATATTTGATAGTCATTTGTATTGTTAATATTTCAAATATTTAAAATCACGTAAAATATTCCTTCAGAAAAGCAATTAACTAATTTTGCAATTTCTGAAATGTACATTTATTAATATACATACAAAAGTCAATTAAACTGCCCATTGTCTCGCATAACACTGGTCAATGTTGCTCCATTCCACCATCATGCCGATGCCCAAAATATCATGCATAACAGGACTAAACGACTACAGATTTGTCGCTCTGGCATCTAACTTTGATCATAAGGACCTTGGAAAGACTGGGTCTGGCACATCTGAAGGACATCACATTGCTATAGCTAACTCAGGCACCAGAGCAAGGCAATCATGGAATATTGTTAGAATCTTTAAAATCCCTAATTCTAAAGCACAATAAAGGTATATCGATATAAAGGTTATTGCATTATCCAATATCCTGTTTTGTAAAAGTTGTTGACTGGGGGCAGCAATGGATAAGCAGATGATCCGTATCCATGCCACTGGGAGAGAGCGGCAGCTTGGCTTGTTTAGAATAAACGACTTTATTTAAAAATTGGAATAAAATAATAGGCACACAATGGCTCATTTAATGGGGGTGGTATAGCCCGCGAACCCCCTCATAACGCCGGCCCTGCATTTTCCTCTCATTTTCCTATGCTCGATCTGATACAGCAATTTTGTCTTTGCTCGCGCCACACACTCCAACCCCCTGGACTCTGAGCCCCCTAGTCACTTTTGAGGTAGTCTGACATGCCTTGACATTTTAAAAATTTCACCCATCTAAATAGTATTTATCTCAATCTGCTACAAAGGCTTTTAGACACCAATAACGAGACCATTTCTAATGTTATTCTTCTATTTTTTTTGTTCAAATTTGTTCAAATCCGCAAAAGTGCGGATGATTTGACCGTCTATCCGCAAAGAGCGGATAGCTTGACCGCAGTTCAAACACAGCTAGGTCAAGGTCCACAGCCATATCAGTATTGAGCTTAAGTAAACTACCCATGTATCTTTCCAGACGAAACAGAAGGTGATCAGCTGGTGCGTGGTTCTCAGATTCATTTGCTATAAGGATCTTAAATTATTAGCAATGGCTCGTAAAAAAAATCGCCATGGATAACACAGGACTACATAAAATTAAGGAACGTCAACACGTTAGATAAGTGGATTATAGCTAGATAATATATAATATAATATAATATAATATAATATATTTTTGCTAGCTAACAGTAATCACTGACAATGCCTCCACACCAGTCACCATGCAGCTAAGGCATTAGTAGTAGAAATGATCCCTCCTCTTTAACTAATCCTGCACTGAATGAAGTTGGAATCACCTGCATTATTACCATACAGAGACAGAAATAAATAAATACAGAAATGTAGACATGAATGAATAAGTGTAGAGTTAATTATGCCATCTTTCATGACCTTTATTTGTTTGTTTCATGATTAATTTGTTTAATTAATTTATTTATTTGTGTTTATGTCATGTAGGAACCCTTAATATCCACTAGCGGATTCACACGGGGGAGAGGCCCTACCAGTGCTCCCACTGTGAAAAGAGCTTCAGTCAAGTATGAGCCCTAAAGGTCAGTGGTGGAATGTAACAAAGTATTTATACTTCGTTACTGTACTTAAGTACATTTTTATGTATCTGTACTTTACTTAAGTAAAAATAATAATGCATACTTTTTATTTTACTCCATTACATTTTGCGGCAATTATCTGTACTTTCTACTCCACTACATTTCTACAATTTATGCCGTTAGTCGTTACATTTTCTGAACGCAATTTCCTCAAAATCTTGCATGAAAAAATAGTTAGCCTATTGCGTTCTGGCGTTGTTTGCCATTTCCTACCAATCAGGTGGCTTTATTAGCTCCAATGATGGCAGAGCGCGCGTCAATTAGCAGCAGGAGCTGGTAGACTGGCTGGATTTCAAGAAGACGAGACGTTCAACATGACGCCACCCCACCACTAGTGTTTGGTTACTGGTGTGTTTCCCTTTTACTGCTCTTAACAGATGTGTTGAATAGTTTTGCAAGTACATAAATGATTTAAAGATGTATCATGTCCTGATTGGTTTATCTTAATGGTATATTAGTGGGTAATACCTAGTAGATAACTTGTCATCCACATAATTCTAAGTTAGGGTACACACAGTATTGCAGAGTATTGCAATAAGCACACCCAACTTTCCAATACACATATACTGTATAGTTGCTAGTAATTATTACGAGCAATGACATCGGTAGAGGCGTAAGTTAGTATATCTACTATTCTTTTACAAAATGGCACACCCGAGACGTTGAGACAAACCATTGTGTGAGTACTTTTACTTAAAAAAATACTTTAAAGTAAATTTAAAAGTAATTACTTTCACTTAAGTAAGATTGTTGATGTAGCACTTCTACTTTTACTTGAGTACATATTTTGCAGGATATTTGTACTTTTACTTAAGTACTAAGCTTCAGTACTTCTTCCACCACTGCTAAAGGTGCACGAGCAGACTCACACTGGGGAGAAGTCGTACCAGTGCTCCCAATGTGGGAAGAACTTCCGTCGAGTAGGAGCCCTAAATAAGCACCAGCCAATTCACACAGGGGAGAGGCCCTACCAGTGCTCGCAGTGTGGGAAGAGCTTCAGAAGAGTAGGAATCCTAAAAGACCATCAGTGTATTCACACAGGGGAGAGACCCTACCAGTGCTCCCAGTGTGGGAAGAGCTTCCGTCAAGTAGGAACCCTAAAGGCACATGAACAAACTCATCTGAGAACCTTAAATGTCATACTTTAGGGGAAAACTTAAGGTGTTTTGTGCAACTGGTCCCAGAATCTTTGTGTCATTTTCCTTACTGAGACTTGGCTTAATAGTGACGGTGCTCCTGTACTTAATGAAACACATCCTCCCAATTTTATTTTCTTCAATGTGTCTAGGTTACAGAAAGTCAGGTGGATTAGCATGATTATTTCATAATACTAGTAACAAGTTTCTTACGGGTACTTTTGTACATTTGAATACCTTGCAGTGCATTGCAAGTGTGATAAATCTGCTCTCATGCTGGTTATCATCCACTTAGCCTTACCTCGGGATTAATGAGTTTGGGGAACTTCTCTGTGATATTTTAAGTGATTTTGAATGTTTTAATAACTGGTTATTTTAACATTCATACAGACATGGCCACAGGTCCTAAAAGCATAGATATTATGAGAATAGTTAACTAATTCGACTTCAGAGTGTGACCAATTCAGTTCAAATTCCAATCCATGAATAGAATGGGGCACAATTCATGAACTCTGAACAACACTGTTACATAATGAGCTAACCGATCAAACTTGGTATGTGTTCAGTCACATGCTTTAAGCTGGGAAAGTGAATCACCTCTTATGACCAGCAATTAAAACTCAACCGAAGCTGGCATTTGAGACAGTGCAGTAAAGGAAGCCAAATTGCTTGTGTAAATGCTGTTTTTTACGAGCGGACATGAATCCCTTGGACCATCACAGCAATTAACAATTCATAGGGAAATACAGGCTGAACTGGGGTGAAATAATGAGCCTCCTGGGTTTGGTGCAGGATAAATTAAAATGAGGATTTTGCCATCAGTCCACTGTGGGGGCAAACTTCACCGTGGTGATCGCCGCAAACCGTCTTAAGGTAAAGCATATAGTACAGGAACAGCCAATCTCATTCAGAATGGGCCGTAATGTATGCAGGTTTTCACTGCAACTCCATAATTAGATTACCAATTAGAGGACTGATTGGTTGAAGAGCCCTCACATCTGGGTTTGAACAGCTGACCTAAAGGTTGCCCCAAAAACCTGCATACACATTGGTCCTTTGTGGATAATAGTGGCCACCCCTCATGAAGTAAAATATATACTATCAGATATTACTCACTGAATATCAGTACATGACTGAAAATTAGCAAACTGCAGTGCTGTGTTTTAACTTACTAGTGCATGCTAGTTCATTTCAACAGGCATGCTCAGAAAATGGCATCTTGTGGTCGGCCATATATGGAAGACTTAATTAGCAATAAATGAGGCTAGCTACTGTTGTTCCGAAGGACAAAATTAAATTTGTATCAGCTAAACATAGTTTTTATATCTACTGAGCCTGTGTAAAAGGGAGAACCGAGTGGTGAACTTAACGTTTTATATTAATTGAGTTACAGCTGACGTTCCTGTTTTTTGAGCATATAGCTAAAATAGTTTCTCTTGAGTTTGTGCATGTTTGGCAGCCTACTGTAAACCAAACAGGAAATTCACGCATTATAATTAAAGAAAGCGTTATTGTGCCTCATTGAACATGTATTTAGACTTTTTGGTCAACTGTGGGGGTAGATTATCTCCTTCAGATCTTATGAAGACATGGTTCAGCTCCTTTTGCCTGATCAAAATACAGATTTTTATGGTCCTTGTCATAAATGTTGTTTCTATGAAACTTTAACGTTGTAAAGAATCATCAAACTTTCTACAACTGAGTGATGTACATCTTCGACATTCCCTGGTAAAATGGCCCCTACACATAAATTGTGATATAATACGCAAGTTGTCTTAATACAACACATTAAACGTGAACCAATTAGCTCAGCAAAACATTCCCAATGATCTGCTAACCATTTAGCATCAGCCTATTCAGAACACTAATTAACAATGGATTCTAACAACAAAGGTCTAATCAACCCACCAGTTGCATCCCAGTAGACGGCCAGTAAGATAAGGCTCTCCCCACTCCAGTTTCAGGTTCAAATCTCCGATGTAGCAGCTCTCGTGCAGCACTCTGTCCATCTCTCTCCTGCTGTGGCTGCGCTTCTCCATTCCTCAAATGCCGCATGAAACACACAAGGACTCACCTGCCACTTAATCAGGATCTGGCAGCACAAATATATTAGGGGGGTGAAATGACCCCCCCCCCATATATATATAATATACGACTTTGCCTTGTAATCATAAAAAACATTACAAAGCAATGACTTTACTTAAAAGAAATTAAACAAGGTTCATTAGGTCTTGCTTTCACTTGTTCTTGGACATAAGTCATTTGTTTGCTTCTTTGCCATTTTGGATTTGAAGAATTCAAATGTCCTGTTATTTTGTGATTTGCACAACATTTCGCTTGTTATGTCCATGTTTAAAAATCACATACATTTCTCTCATAAACAATCGATAATCATTTCTACTTCTCAAAATGTCAGGAAATGCTATGAAGAATGTATTTACTCAGTGTAGTTCATACCCTAGTAAGCAGAAAATTAAATTACAAAGTACATAGTAATTACAATACAAAGTACTGTACATTGGCTCTAAAAAAATTATATTTACACAGCAAGGATCATCAGGTTGTGCTTTGGTCCTTTCTTGGACAAGGCCTTGCATCTTGCTTCTCTGTCCCTAATATCACCCTCATGATGTGTATATACCCAGCCTGCCACCTCTGTGACTGTTTCACACACCTCTCTTTGGACTGGGCATGACTCATCACTGCACTTCTTTACTTCCACTGTAGTCAGTTTATATGGCAAAGGAAGTTCATATGCCCCATCAGATCACTCTAGCTCCAACAGAGAAGAAGCACTAGGGATGGTGGAAAGTCTTTCTGAGACATACAGAAAGATCTCTCAGTTTGTCATCTCCACCCCTAGTGTCAACAATCTTTTGGACACCAGCTCTCCTCTCTTCACTGTCATCTGAGCAATAGTGTCTGGATTATCATTTTGCAGAATGCATACCATGCTGAGTGCTGGATGGTTAGAAAACAGCATCTACTACAGCCTAATTAGCTGTGGCTGGAACAGGATGTGGTACAGGCCTTTCACACAACTGAGTTTTAATTTGATATACATGATTGAAACACATAACAGCAAGTACTTGGCAATCATTTTCATGATATTCAGGCAACTTTACAAACATTTTCAAATAAAGTATTTAAAAAAGGCACAATCAAAATGATTGGAAATTCCGCAAAAACATAAAGTCATCATGTATCTTTTTACCAAATACAGATGCTCCTCTACTTACGAATGAGTTACATTCTGAACAGCCGTCTGTAACTTGAAATGTTCGTAAGTCGTTATTATCATTTGAAGGGTATATGTAAGTACAAAGAATTAGGATGCTGGGAGTACGCACGCTACGCTGCTGCGAGGTACTAGGCGAAATTGGGGCGCAGATAAAAAAATTGATGTTGCGGACTGGAAACGGGAGCCCAAGGAACACAATTTGGACTTACAGCCCTCTTCATTCGTATGTCTGAAAATTCGTAAGTTGAAAGTTGGTAAGTAGAGGAACGTTTGTAAAACTAAATTATATAAAATTAACAAAAATATATTTTTACTGGTAGGTCCTCTCCCCTGTGTGAATCCACTGGTGCTTCTTTAGGTATCCTAAATGACTGAAGCTCTTCGTACAGAGGGAGCATTGGTAGGGTCTCTCCCCTGTGTGAATCCGCTGGTGTTCCTTTAGTTTATCTAAACGACTGAAGCTCTTCCCACACTGAAAGCACTGGTAGGATTTCTCACCTGTGTGAATTTGCCGGTGCTTATTTAGGTCACTTAAATTACTGAAGCTCTTCTCACATTGGGAGCACAGGTAGGGCCTCTCCCCTGTGTGAATGCGCTGGTGAATCTTTAGGCCTCCTACTTGACTGAACCTCTTGTCACACTGGGAGCACTGGTATGGCTTCTCCCCTGTGTGAATCCGCTGGTGGCTCTTCAGGTATGCTAATTGACTAAAGCTCTTCACACAGTGGGAACACTGGTAGGGCTTTTCATCTGTATGAATTTGCTTGTGCTTGTTTAGTGTTCCTAAATGACTGAAGCTCTTCCCACACTGGGAGCACTGGTAGGGCCTCTCTCCGGTATGAGTTCGTTGATGTGCCGTTAGATGGCCTGATTGACTGAAACTCTTACCACATTCTGAGCAATGATAAGGCTTTTCTCCAGTGTGAATTCGCTGATGTGTCTTTAACTCGCTTAATTGGCGAAAACTCTTTGCACATTGGGAGCACTGGTAGGGCTTCTCCATTGTGCGAATCCACTGGTGGCTCTTTAGGTGTCCTACAAGACTAAAACTCTTGACATACTGGGAGCACTGGTAAAATTTCTCATTTGTGTGAATTTGCTGGTGCTTGTTTAGGGTTCCTAAATGACTGAAGCTCTTCCCACACTGGGAGCACTGGTAGGGCCTCTCTCCAGTATGAGTTCGTTGGTGTGCCTTTAGGTGGCCTGACTGACTGAAACTCTTACCACATTCTGAGCAATGATAAGGCTTTTCTCCAGTGTGAATTCGCTGATGTGTCTTTAACTCGCTTAATTGGCGAAAACTCTTTGCACATTGGGAGCACTGGTAGGGCTTCTCCATTGTGCGAATCCACTGGTGGCTCTTTGGGTGTCCTACATGACTGAAACGCTTCACATATTGGGAACACTGGTATGATTTCTCGTTTGTGTGAATCTGCTGGTGCTTATTTAAGGTTCCTAAATGACTAAAACTCTTCTCACACTGGGAGCACTGGTAGGGCCTCTCTCCCGTGTGAGTTCGTTGATGTGCCGTTAGATGGCCTGACTGACTGAAACTCTTACCACATTCTGAGCAGTGAAAAGGCTTTTCTCCTGTGTGAATTCGTTGATGTGTCTTTAACTCGCTTACTTGGCGAAAACTTTTTGCACATTGGAAGCACTGGTAGGGTTTCTCCACTGTGTGAACCCACTGGTGGCTATTTAGGTGTCCTGCATGAGTGAAACTCTTAACATATTGGGAGCACTGGTAAGATTTCTCATTTGTGTGAATTTGCTGGTGTTTGTTTAGTGTTCCTAAATGTCTGAAGCTCTTCTTACACTGGGAGCACTGGTAGGGCGTCTCTCCCGTGTGAGTTCGTTGGTGTGCCGTTAGGTGGCCTGACTGACTGAAACTTTTACCACATTCTGAGCAGTGAAAAGGCTTTTCTCCTGTGTGAATTCGTTGATGTGTCTTTAACTCGCTTACTTGGCGAAAACTCTTTGCACATTGGGAGCACTGGTAAGGCTTCTCCACTGTGTGAATCCACTGGTGGCTATTTAGGTGTCCTACATGACTGAAACTCTTCACAAGTTGGGAGCACTGGTAAGATTTCTCATTTGTGTGAATTTGCTGGTGCTTGTTTAGGGTTCCTAAATGACTGAAGCTCTTCCCACACTGGGAGCACTGGTAGGGCCTCTCTCCCGTGTGAGTTCGTTGGTGTGCCGTTAGGTGGCCTGACTGTCTGAAACTCTTACCACATTCTGTGCAGTGATAAGGCTTTTCTCCTGTGTGAGTTCGCTGATGTGTCTTTAATTCATCTAATTGGCAAAAACTCTTTGCACACTCTGAACACTGGTAGGGCCTCTCCCCTGTGTGAATCTGCTGATGCTTCTTTAGAGTACTTAAATGACTGAAGCTCTTCCCACAATGGGAGCACAGGTGAATTTTCAGTATCACACCAGGGCCAAACATTTCAGGGTGAGACTTCTTGATGTGTCTATGGAGGTAAGTCTCTGACGTGTATGACATAGTACAGTGAGAACAGGGGAACTTGTTCACTCTCCTCCTTGGTATGACAGCTTGGTCTGAATAATGAGAGATATAGAGAAGAGCAAGCGTAAGTTTGGAATGGGGTCATGGGAACAAAAGTGATGGATTCAGGAGAAATAAAGTGCCTGGGTCTATTGGTGCTTTTCCACTGCTACTAAGAGCTGAGCCATACCCAAGCCAAACTGAACATTAGCTTTTTTCCATTGTAAATTAGCTAATCTCCACTGAAAGCGTGACTAAACCAAGCTGGGTGCATAACCGCCATCTGAATAGTTGAAACGCACAGAGACAAGGAAGAACTGGTGATCTGCTTCAAACCTCATGGATTAGGAGTATGGCACAACTAGACATGGTGATCTGCTTCAAAACTCATGGATTAGGAGTATGGCACAACTAGACATGGTGATCTGCTTGAAAACCCATGGATTAGGAGTATGGCACAACTAGACGTATTGATGCATTCCTGATAACTCCGAATTTCCAACTTTAAAATTAATAGAGAATAGCTGAAAATAATGGATTTATAATGAAAATTTACTAGGGGTATAATGGATTGTAATTGATCTGTGATGCGTACTGACTATTGTGATCTGAAGAAAATCACTTTGCCTACGTTGAGATCACCAGAAAAATAAGTCATAATCTCGACATAACACAGAAAAAGATAATGATGGATATCCTCTATGGACTTCTGTACAAAACAGAGCTATAGTGAAAAGTTAAACAAAGCAGTTATGTATTCACATGAATAGGGTATGTTGCTTTAACTGTGCTTCAAGTTCTTCTAGTAATAAATTGAAAGCAAAGTTAAATGTTCCCCCTTTTTTTCTTGTTGATCCAAAAAATGATCTGACCCATGACTGAAATACCGTGATACGATCCAAACCATGAGTTTTGTGACTCGTTGCAACCCGTTACTAAGAACACTGCGATTCTCAAACATGCGTTAGTGGAGATTATGATGTTCCATTTAAACTGGGAAGTCGGAATCTCTGAGTCGAAAATTTCAACTGGAACACCCCTGTAGTCGGAGTTCCAACTCGGATAGTCAGAGGAACCTCTATAACAGGGCTGGGAAATCTTATCCAGAAAGGGATAAATGTGTATGTAGGTTTTTGCTGCAACTCCCTAATTAGATTATTAATTAGAGGACTGATTTGCTGAACAGTCCTCACACCTGGGTTTGAACAGCTGACCTAAAGGTTACCCTAAAAACCTGCGTACACACCGGCCCTTTGCGGATAAGATTGGCCAGCCCTGCTCTACAACCCCAACCTCAGAATTCAAAATCGCGGTACCGTTTATCAACAGAAGTCAACACTGTAGATATATACTATTTATTAGCACTTATGCATTGTGTCTCATTAAATTAGTCATACACAAAGTACTATCCAACCTCTATTTGCAGTCATGTTGCTATGGTGTTTGTATGGGCAAAATACCATATGATGCATTATCATCAACAGGTATTGCTAACAATGGTTAACAATGAACTTGTATAGAACTGGTTTTGCTAAATGCCTTTCCAACTTCTTGTTCTGAAATACAGTTAGCTTGGGTGTGACATCAGTCCCAGCTCCAACTTTTGACCTCCAAGGTAAATGGAACGCAGCATTAGCACAGAGTGAATCATGGTACACACCATGGGAACAGTAGATAGGCGCTGCTTCGGTTTTACATCACAATTGCTCTCAAAACTCAGCAATGCCTTTACTGAGCTGACCCTTCTGTACTGGAAAATCAAAACAAGCTGGAACTGCACTATAGCTAGTGTCTGTTCGTGGCATGGGTCGGGTATGGTCTGGTTCCTGTACGTCAGTGGAAAAGCACCATAACAGAGCAAGAATTCAGTAACACTGTACACAGCACTAGATATCTGTGCATGATGCAGCATGTTGAATTTTCTGGATGGTAGAAGATTTTTCTAGTCACCTGGGTTTGGAGGTCTGACACTCCCATCCAGCTTCTCCTCAGTCACGTCCTGAAACACTGTTTCTTCTTTCACCTCCCCATTAAAGACGGGACACACTGTACTCTCTGCTTTCTGAGGAAAGGAGAATACAGTCAAAAATTCTTCTGTAAAGAGTTCAACTGGTCTATGGGACTGAAAGCAACATTTTTCAGCATCACACAAAGAAGCAGGGCCAGATCTACCAATGTCTTTACCAGGTATCATACAGGACACATTTTTCCTGACTGATACTGAACACAAGCTGCCCTCAAGCTGCTGCTCTCTCTCCACTCCTAATCCATCTAAGCAGCTCACTGCTGAAGGTACTACAGGGTAAAAGCACAGGTGACATGACAGCAGGCCTGTGAAGGTGTTTAGATGCAGATTCACTGTCATAGTTACACTGCAGGAGGCAGGACACACAGAGACTGTGTAAAATCCCAGATGACTTCAGAAAGGTCAAGGTTCATGCAGTTGCCTGGATACTAACAAGCAAGACGAGCAACCTGTGAGTGCAGAAGGCAGCTGGGCCCCACACCAGCAGCGCTCCATTTCGCCTTGTCAGGGCTGCTGTGCCCGGCCCCGTCCACATCCGATATGAGGACGTCCTGCGCTTCCTCCTTCACATCTGCCACACTTAGCTGGGGAGGTTTCTGGTCCATGCTGCAGCTGGCCACAGCCCTGCAGGTGGACGTCTGTGAGCAGAAAGGGAATGAAGGACATGCTTCGAACCTGTTCAAAACTTGTCCTGTCTAATGTAGCCGTGTGTGACTACAGGATTGGACTCTGTGTCTGTGATCAGAAGGTTGCCAGTTGAAATCCTTTTGTCCACACAGTGTATATTCTCATTCAAGGAATCCAAGACTAAGAAACCCATAGTAACAATGGAAGGTTTAAAACTGGCTGCCGATGAGGCTGGTCTACAGGGACAGATCTAAGGGATCATCCCACATCAATAAACCTGGCTGATCGATCCGCCAGCACTGATCTCCCACCTCATCGGTCACACGCTGATTAACAGATTACTGATGTTATTTCGTCTTTAATTCTCCCTCGTTTCTCTTTTGGCTAACAATAAACAACAGACCCACCCATGGCCACCCCCAGAAATATAACTGGCCCCTGATGGACACCCCAATAAAATTTTCTGCAGGCATCTCTGCTGCGTTATATTCACTAAGGATGTACAGATCAACAATGAAATACTGATTCTTTCCATTTGACTATTTAATTCCAATAATTGATTCTAAAATTAAAATATCGATATGTCACCAGGTAATTAAAAAGTTTTTACAATACCAAATTAGCAGCGTAAACTTCTGTTCCAGAAACCAAGATTAGACTGAGCATCATGCAATCACTGTGGCAACTAATTCTGGAAATTAACCCTTTGGGAGTGCAGGGTCAGCTGACAGAAACGTTGCTTTAAGGGGCTGCCACAGCAGGGTTCGGTGGTTGGAATTGGCGTGCTCATATCTCCACTTTGACATTCTGTCATTTCCTGGGGAAGAGCACCGCTTCTCATCCCAGTCCAGGGGTGTCGGTACGATTTTAGCTCCCTCAAATAAATGACATTTATTGGCTTAAGTCATGAATAGTTTGCCATTTGCCCCACAGTAAAGATTCAGCCCCCTGTACATTCATCTCTAATCATGCCCCTGTCCTAGTCTATGTCTATGATTTATTCAATAATTTTCACCTGCCATCAGTCAAATTTAATTTGATTTGATTAAAGTTTATCATATATCTGAGCACTTATTCTCAGCCTCTCATTTCACACATCACACACCACGGATCTGTACTCATACCTTCACAAACTCTATTCATTTCCCTCCATTTTTTCCTGCTGGAAGCCAGATATATAATTCGCATTTATTGGACTACTATATATTTCTGTCTTTTTCCCTTGACATAAACCTCTGAGAATAATTAAAAGATAGTTCCGCCAAATTCCAGGTTTACCATTTATTACAGAAATGTTTAATGGTGACAGCCCTGAATTATTCAATGAATTAATTAATATAATTCCCGAAATTCTGCAGGATTTACTACTACTTTGAATGCCTAAATGCAATTCGCATTCCAATCACTGCTCCTTTAGTAAAAAAAGGAGATCGTGTGAACAGCGCTGCCCGCACTTCTGACGGGCGACACCCACCTGTGAAGCTGGCCTATTCTGAATAAAAGTTAACCATAAGACAAAATCTAGTTAAACAAATGTTGGGATTCGTTAAAAATCTCCAGTAATATTTCTACAATTTTTAACTATGTTAGACATTATATTAGGCATTGCTGTCGGCCACACGGGTCTGATGAATTTTAAGTTGAGTGATCTACCTAGGCTTTGACTAGTTGCACTTCTTTGCAACGCCGTCTCTCTCTCCTTTGCTGCAGTGTTGCTTTTTTATTTAAAACTAAATTATAAACGGCGTACACAGTTGTTAATCTCTCCATTTCCAGACACGGAAAGCACGGGTCTGTACACATTTTAGCGTCCGTTTCCATGGCGAATCCTTTTTCAGCGATCGGCTGATGATGACTTTTTGTTGTTCCACGAGGCATTAACACTCAGAGCTGAATAAACTCACACCCCTAAGCAGTAATCAGCGTTTCTGGAACCGATAATTATGCTTACGTCATTCTGGGGGCATTGAAGTGATAGTTAAGGTTTAATCCCCAACTCGCTTTCAGGAATACAACCCCAGTATATAACCTCCAACCAGGCAGGGGCGCCCTTAAAGAAAGCAAGCCCGGCGGTGTCCCCCTCTCCTCTCCTCCCCGCTCGGCAAATTTCAGGTCAGTTCTTTGTTGTTGTTATTGTACATGACAACACAATTAGAAATTAGTCGGCAACTCCCTGAACGGTGCAAACAAAGACATAAGAAAAAACGTAACATGTGAATAATATACACAAAATAGTCAATAAATATTTGCACAAGTATAAATGTGATAAAGTGTAGCGGTGTGTGATAGTCCCTCAGTGCCCGGAGTGGCTTTTATCCCCCGCCGCAAATTTTATCCGCCCACTAGCCAAATGTTGCTTTGGTCCCCGAAAAGGTTTGGGTGGCACCGAATATTGGCATCGGAATACCAACCTTGGTATTATTTGGTATCGCTCGTCTTAAATCTCCTCAGCCTACATCCCTCACATTCCTCCCCGCTACTCCGCTGCCGTGCAGGATTCGCGTCTTGACGTAACGCAGCGTAATGCGTTTAACCACATGACGTCTCCCAGCTGTGTGGTTGGCCACGCCCCATTCCTGCCGAACTGCATGTGTCAAATAAAAGTCAAGATTTTAGTTTGTCATATCCAATATTAGTGAAGTTCAACCGCAGTTAAATAATTCCATATATTTTTACCATTACTGCATGGGCTTTTGTACGGTTCTGCATTTTAGTAAAGACATATATTTAGAAATTGTATTCCTGGTTTATATGCATTTAAACCTAGACATATTTCTGTTAATATTGTGCAGTGAACTGAGCCAGATGACATAATAATGAACAAAAGCTTCTACGTTGTTGAGATTAACGCAAGAAATCTTGCGGCAAATATATGTTATTCCATTATGAACAATTAGGGTAATATAAACCCTATTATTATTATTATTATAAAAATTAGCTATATCAAAAGCGTCGGGGTACAGACTATTTGCAAGGTATAAAACTGATACATACATGTAAATGCATGTGCATGTGTGTGCAGACTTGCCTCGAATTGAAAATCTCTCGCCAGCTCACTGACCAAAGATGACCCGGTCTTATCGAGCTAAACATACGGTTATAATCGATAAAGCAATTCGCTATTGAGCTGCATATACCTTTCAATGTAGTGGAACACGTCGGTTAAACTATCAAGCGAAATGTAAACGACTTTTTACAATAATAAAAATCGCCTTTGTAAAACATTCGTAAACGCACTTTATTGATGTGAATGCTTGGAGCAGCGGTAAAAGTGAACTTGAAAGTACATCTGCCAAAGAGCACACCTTACTTGAATTTTTGATGCTGCTTTTCGATTGATGTAACGAGATTGTATGTGCGTACTTCTTGTTTTTTGTCTTTTTTTTTTTTATCCTTATATGATAGGTCACTTTACTGTACTTGTATGCTGCCTTATAGTATTCCTGGCCTATACTATTCTTTTAATGCTCTTTTTTTTTTACAACTGCCTTGTTCTTAACCATTTATTCTTGTATATTGCTTTTTGTTATATTGTAAATGCACTATATTGTTATCTTGTTTGACAAGTTTAATAAAAAAAAAGAAAAAAAAATCTGCTAAAGAGCCCGATGGCTGCGCATGCGCCGATGGTAGGGTGGCGATAAAAGAGCAGGCACAGGAAAGGCATCCAGGGCCCTGATGGATTTCGTGGAGCGTCGGCGGGCATGTTAACTTCGCCCCGTATCAGCCCTTCCGTTTGCTTATTTGGTTTGGTATGTATTTTTTTGTGGGATTGGAGCTTGTAATGATAATGGTGTGTGTTTAAGTGGTTAAGGTTTGTTTTGGAGTTCATCATTGACACAGATTATATAAGCTTGCTACACTGCAATTATTTAACAGGGCTGAGAAGAGGTGAGCGCTCTCCTAGACCTAGTGGCTAAAGGAGTACATTTTCCCTAAAGCAGATATAATGCGTGGTGGCGTCATTGCTTTTAAACCACAGCTTAGGATAGATGGAACAGATCAAATCATTTTGCTCATTTAATATTCAGATTTTTAAGCTAAATCTTTAGATACCAAGGTTTATTATCTGGACACCTACCACGATCAAGGATGGCATATGCCACTCTTATTAATGTCTACCACATTTTATTATTGTTCAGTGGCTTTTGGCTTGCCTGAATTGATGTATGCCAGTTTGCTTGAGTAGTGTAGTGGTCTTGGTATATGTGCAACTCCAAAGATATTTGGATGGGTTCTCTTCAATGGGTCAGGTATATTAAGTCCTGTTTTTTTTTCCCCGGAGGGGTGCCAAGGTGAAGGTGGGAGAAGAGTTCTCCATACAGGGTACACTCGGTCATGGAAAACCTGGAAAAGTTTTGGAAACTAGCCTTAATTTTTGTTTCCCGCTTCGTTCCGCAACGCTCTAACGGAAATGTGCAAGCGGAAGTCAGTAGTTGCGTACCTTGGTAAACATCCGCTTCCGGCACTTTTACCGCGCAGATTTCGCGTGTTTGAGATCGCTGCTTTTTTGCTCGCCATGCCATTGTTTTATTTATTTTGCACCTATTTGCATTTTATTGATCACTCCGTTGCCTCTACCAATCATAAGGTACGTATAATTATTTTAATATTGGGATTAATTTTCTTAATTGAACGTTATTTGCACATTGGCGAAAGTTGTCCACCGTCTGTGTTTATTTGGTAAGTAGATTGGCTGTTATCGTACCGAAAATTGTAATATTATTATCTGAAACTGCATGATCATCAAATCAAAACAAACCTGTGGGTTTTGGAAAATTCTTGTGGTACTGGAAAAGCCATGGAAATTTATTCTGCCAGAATTGGGGGAACCCTGTCTATACCATTTTTTAACACAACAATGACATCTCTCTCCTACCGAATGTTTTTTTTTTTTTTCCCCAGCTGCTGGCTAGTACATAACAGTGGATCCCACCAAGATCCATTCCTATAGCTGTAATCAACAGCAAACATCTTTTAGTTCAATCTGGCGTTTTTGTTTTCTTGCTTCTCTCTGCCTGCATGCACTGTACTGTAAAGCCTGCAGTTGATTCCTCCTCAGTCAGCACCTCTACTTTGGCCAGGAGCAGCATGGACCACGGCAGCTGTATCCACACTGTAAGTGTCCCCAGGGAGCTCAGAAAGCACTCCACCCTGTCTCCAGGTGAACAACTTTTCATTGTGAATCAGGTTCGTGATTTTTCTGCCCATAGAATACTGTGGTTGCTGAGGCTCGAACCCAGCTGAGTAACCCTGCTATCAGCTACCCACATCCAGCAATCCCTCACAGGGCTTGGACAGGATCAGATCCAGAAGAAACATCAGGCAAGCTCACGAGATGCAGGCCATCATCTGTGGCTACAGTCTACACGTAATCCTTCTTCAGAGCTATAGAACTGTTCATTAATGACCTTATCACTACTTCCTCTGAGTCTGCTTGTCTCTCATGTTCTCCACATTGACTGAAGCTCCTCCCATACTGGGAGCACTGGTAGGGCATCTTGCTTGTATGAGTTCATTGGTGTCGCATCAGTTCTGATGATTGACCAAACGTCTTCCTGCACGCTAAGCAATGGTGTGGTCTCACCCATGTATGAATCCACTGGTACGTCTTTAGGACTCACTTCACTGAATCTCTTCCCACACTGGGAACTTTAATGTGTCTAACTCAATTAATTGGCAAAAACTCTGCCTTTGCACACTCTAAGCAATGGCAATGCCTCTCCTCTGTGTGAATCCGCTGGTGGATCTGTAGGTGACTGACATGAATAAAACTCTTCCCACAGTGAGAGCACTGGTAGGGCCTCTCCCCTGTGTGAATCCGCTGGTGGATCTGTAGGTGACTGACATGAATAAAACTCTTCCCAAAGTGAGAGCACTGGTAGGGCCTCTCCCCTGTGTGAATCCACTGGTGGATCTTAAGAGCTCCTACTTGGCTGATCTTCTTACAGTAGGAACGTAGGTGCTGCTTTAGTTTCTCTAAAACGTTTAAGCCCACTGGGAAAATTTTCTTGTTTGTGTGAATTTCCAGCTCTTCCAACACTGGGAGCACTGGTAGGGTCTCCTGTGTGAGTTTGTTGGTGTGTCTTTAGTGGTACCACATTCCGAAGTGGTAAGGCTTTTCGCCTGTGTGACTTTAATGTCTGTAACTCATCTGATTTTATCCCCCCCCCCCTGCAAATTTAATACGCCTGCTTTTCAAACTATGTTAAGGGTCCTGAAACCGCTTGGGCCAGTACCGAATATCAGCATCGAGATACCAATCTTAGTATTATTTGCTACCGGATTAAAAGGGAAATACGTGATATTGCCGTCCTTAATACTCACCATGCATCACTCTGCTGCAGTAATGACTGTTATGATGTACCATGCTATATGTTTACACCACGGTGCTATGCCTGCTGGCCCTCTGCTTGGCCACGCCCCAATTCTGCCGAATGTATTTATGTTGTACGGAATTGTATGTTTTTGTAGGAGTGCCATAGAAAAACTGTCTGTAAAAGAATATGGAAATTAATGAATTCATATAAAAATGAATAAGAATTATTTTCTTTATTGCTTTTTCCTTATTGCTTAAATCACAGCCAGAGGAATTATTAGCAGAGGCCCCTGGGTTTCAGAGTAGGTAAGGCTGATCTATATTCAGTAACGTAAGTACAGCATAGCCATGAACCCCACGCCGTACCTTGCATGTGCCTCCTCAGAAATGTAACTACACGTTGCAGCAATGCATGTCGCAAGAACTGTGATTAGACCACTTGGAAGCATTAGTTTTTGTTATGGATACAAAGAAAGCATACATACCTGTGGCCTGTACTACAAAGCGTGGGTTACTGGCTTATCGGGGTAACTTGTTGGATTTAAGGTAGCACCGTTTAAATGGACCTCATATTCATTCATGTACATTTTGCCCAGACTACCTTAAATCTGACACGTTACCCCGTTAAGCCAGTAACCCCGCTTCGTAGTACAGGCCACTGATGTGCTCCTATCGCTGATTGAAACTGGCGTGCTATTTATATCTAGAAATAAATAACCCACCCTGGGCTTCATAGCAACAGATCTACAAAACACTCAGGATGGCTATGGCTACGCCACCTTCACTTATCACCATCATTTTTCCAAATTCGTCCACGGCATGTTTAAATGTAACCAGGACTTGATGAATGGGTACTTTGTTAAATGTGTTTTTTTTTTCCCCAGTTTCAATTGTTATTCAACAACTGATTGTTGCAGGGTGGGAAGACAATAAATGCAGCATCCAAAACTATGTATGACCTGGCATTTTGATCGTGCGATTGTGGTGCTCCCTAACACTGGGGCACAAATATAAATGCTTGCAATGGCATAGGCTCAATCCAGAAGTATAGTTCAGGCTTTAAAGTGCCCCTGGTTGTCATGGCGATTGCCATTTGGAGAGCTGTGTACTGCCTAGTGCAATAGCAATGGGCAAACATGTGCACTGACCTCACTTCCCATCATCCTGTACAGCTGAGTGTCCGTGTACGAGTTCTGCAAGTATGAAAGGCCCTGACTGAGCGAATCATCCTCTAATTAGTAATATAATTAGGGAGCTGCGGCGAAAACCCGCAAACACACCGGCCCTTTGCGGATAAGATTGGCCACCCCTGTGCTACAGTATTATACATCTCGTTTCCTGTAAATTATCCAATGTTATGGCTGAAAATCTACATTGTACACGAACCCCAGGCACCTTGATGAAAAGGTCAAATCTGATGGAGATTTTGCCTGTTACCAGCTGTCAGGGTGGATGCACTCCGATTATTGAAGGATGGACATTCACATTGTTGTTTTAAGTTTGAAATGATATTTAAACAAAAATTCTGGGGTATACCCAATGATAGGTGACCTGTGTTGGACTTATTTATATTATTGTATGATGTTTGCTATAAAAAGGTGTAAGGAACACTAGAGAGTTAGAGGCAGAAAACTTTGACTCTGGGATGTAACATCAACTTTATACTGTCATAACTTCCCTTCATTATGCAGATTGGAAGCAAGAAACTTTAAACACTGCTGCAAGTAGTTTTATACACTATGAATCAGACAAAGATTTGTATATAGGTGCCATTTGTAAAATGGTCCACTTTGACCTATGCAGGCGGGAGCCCCCCCTTACGATCCCTGCTGCTGTCATCAACCAGGGGTGGGGGCAAAGGTCCCTTTTTATAGGAGCCCCCTGGGCTTCAGCCTGGGTAAGCCTGTGCATTTAAACAACCTTGCACCCACCTGAATCATAACTGCCTGTGCTGTGTGTATATAGCTTTGAGTTCAAACCCAGCTTTGTTTTAGGCAAACATTCATTATGTCCAAACTGGGAAAACATGCTGTTGCACGCTTGTGATTTCCAAGAGACTGAAATAAATTATGTTTTGAAACAAACGTGGAACTGAATTGGAATGAACTGAATGATTCGAATGCGAATCAGAATTAAATTGAATCAGGGCATCTGTGTCAATACCCAGCCCTAATACATGGTAACCAAGTGCAAAATAAATTCCTTTTATGGTCGTAACAAACATTCATTCAGAACAAAGGATCACGCAATAAATGAGTAACAACACACTTCGCAGTCCGCCTCATGATCTCTTTGCCACATAAAAGCCACAATATTTTATTTATTCAACCTGTGACATATACTTTATTAAACCTGGCCAGCGGAATGATCTTTTGTTTCTCACAGAATAAAAAAACTAAGCTTATCCCGCTAATAAGCTGGGAAGTTGCTTCACTGTCAGCTCTGCCATTATTAGACAATCTCAGTTATGGATTGAATTTTCTGGGTATATGGAAGGTTTGTCTGGTAGCCTTTTGGTGATGGTACAGTGCCACATTCTGAGCCCAGCTTTTCTGTGACGCCATGCTGCAACCATTTTTTTCTGACCCAGGGCCATTTATTTGCGTTGGAGACGCTAGGAACCAGTGCCGGACTCTGAAAAAATCCGGCACCAGACTAAACATGCAACTGATACTCCTTGTGGTCCAAACGGAGCCCTGGAGGGACCATGGGCAGTTCTTACAGTTACATTTATCTGATGCTTTATCCAAACACACCAGAGGGAAGGGCTACAATTCATACACACTCCCAGGGATTTCAACATGAGCACTGCACTGTTTACATAATGCTCTCTTTTTGTTTAGTTACAAGCACATGCAGCAATGGACCAGTGACAAAATGGACCAGCATTCCTCGTCCAGAGCATAGAATTATTTGTACTTTTATTCATTTTTCCTGTAACTGTACAGCTTGACACATACATTTGAAATCACCTTGGTAGAAGGTTCTTTAAGCTTCCTCATATGGTTCAAAGCTCTGCAGCGGCAGCACACCGTCACATCCCGTCTTACACCATGTGACGTGACCCATTTGGCTGCTTGGCAGAACCGAGGTCCACAAATCTCACTTCCTGTATCGAAACAGTACAGTGTTGCTTCCCTTCCACAGGGGTTCCTAAGTGATGCCATACACTCTGTGGCCAATTTGGCATTTTTGTTACTTACACTGGTGTCTCTACAGCTCCTGAGTGAGTGAAATTCCTTCCTCACTGCGTAGTGGTAAGACGTCTGTCCTTGTGTTTTCGTTGGTGTTTCTGAATCTCTCGTAAACGACCAAAACTCTTCCCACACGGAGCACAGACATAGGGTTTCTCTCCTGTATGAGTCTGTTGGTGAGATTTTAGGTTTCCTTGGTGAGTGAAGCTCTTCCCACATTGGGGACACTTGAAGGGTCTCTCTCCTGTGTGAATGCGCTGGTGCGTCTTTAGGGCTCCTAACTGAATGAAGCTCTTCCCACACTGGGAGCACTGGTAGGGCCTTTCCCCTGTGTGAATCCGCTGGTGCATCTTTAGGGTTCCTACTTGACTGAAACTCTTCTCACACTGGGAGCACTGGTAGGGTCTCTCCCCTGTGTGAGTTCGCTCATGTGCCTTTAGAGTTCCTACTTGACTGAAACTCTTCCCACAGTGGGAGCACTGGTAAGGCTTCTCACCTGTGTGAATTTGCTGGTGCATCTTTAGTTCTTCAACGCATGTGAACCTGTGACCACACTGGGAGCAGAGGTAGGGTTTCTCTACTATGTGACTTTGTTGATGTGTTTTTAGGTCTTTGAACCAAGTGAAGCTCTTCCCACACTGGGAACACTGATATGACTTCTCTATTCCATGGGTCCGCATATGCCTTTGTAATTCACCTGACCGAGTGAAATTTTTCCCACATTGTGAGCAGTGATGCGGTCTCTCCCCTGTGTGAGTCCGCTGGTGTATCTTTAGGCTTCCTAACTGACTGAAACTCTTCCCACACTGGGAGCACTGGTAGGGCCTCTCCCCTGTGTGAATCCGCTGATGTCTTCTCAGGTCTTCTAAATGATTGAAAGTCTTCCCACAGTGGGAGCACCAGTGAACTTTCAGTATCACACCGGAGCCAAACTCCTCAGGATGGAATTTCTTAATGTGTCTGTGAAGGTAAGTCTCTAATGTGTAGGACGAAGGACAATGAGAACAGGGGAACTTGTCCACTCTCTTTCCTGGTACGAGAGCTTGGACTGAATAAAGAGGCATGGAGAAGAGCAAACATAAGCTTGGAATTGGGCAATGGGAACAAAAGTGATGGATTCAGGAGAAATAAAGTCCATGGCAGTGGAGTCTAATAGAGCAATAATTCAGTAACACAGATTGCATACAGCACTAGGTATCTGTGTGATGCTGCATGTGGAATATTCTGGAAGCTGGAAGATTTTTCTGTAGTCACCTGGGGTAGGAGGTCTGACACACCCTCTTCTCGTTCTCCGTCTCCCTTCAGTATCGTCCACCTGAAGAGGGACAGTCACCTTCTCCTCAGTCACATCCTGAAACACTGTTTCTTCTTTCACCTCCCCATTAAAGACGGGACACACTGTACTCACTGCATTCTGAGCAAAAGAGAACAGAGTCAATAACATTATTCTGTGAAAAGTTCAACTGGTCTATGGGACTGAAAGCAACATGTTTCAGCATCACACAAAGAAGCAGGGCCAGATCTACCAATGTCTTTACCAGGTATCATACAGGACACATTTTTCCTGACTGATACTGAACACAAGCTGCCCTCAAGCTGCTGCTCTCTCTCCACTCCTAATCCATCTAAGCAGCTCACTGCTGAAGGTACTACAGGGTAAAAGCACAGGTGACATGACAGCAGGCCTGTGAATGTGTCAGATACATATTTACTGTCATAACTACACTGCTGGATGCAGGACACACAGAGACCGTTTAAAATTCTCATCTCATCTCACTCCATTTCACCTTGTCAGGGCTGCTGTGCCCGGCCCCGTCAACATCCGATATGAGGACGTCCTGCACTTCCTCCTTCACATCTGCCACACTTAGCTGGGGAGGATTCTGGTCCATGCTGCAGCTGGCCACAGCCCTGCAGGGGGACGTCTGTGAGCAGAAAGGGAATGAAGAACATGCATTGAAGCTGTTCATTATGCAGATGATGTATCTGTCCTGCACCATCAGGCTTTGAGCTCTCAGTTCTGCTCTAACTGGGTCATCATGATGAAGGTCCGAAGCATCTGGAAACTTGTCCTGCCTAATGTAGCAGTGTGAGACTCTGCAGGATTGGACTCTGTGCCTGTGATCAGAAGGTTGCTGGTTCAAATCCCGTGACTGGCTGATTGGTCATATCAGTGTTGGGCCCTTCAGCAAGGCCCCTAATGTCAAAAAATGCTACAGAAGCTTGCAATTAATGGCTAACGATGGCATCGCAGAGACAGAGGACATGTGTAAAAACTGCAGAATTCCTTTATACTTGTGCAAATGGCAAATAAAGTCCAGTTCCACCATCACGGCTGGATGGACTTCTGAAGAGGATGCAGTCCTGGAGGCTGGAGCTGCCTCTATTCAATATGTCCATGGCCTGATCTGAAATAACAAAACTAAAACTGATCTTACCTGCTAGGGGTTCAAGTGCAGCCAGTCTTACTGTGGCTTCGGTGAGAAGCCCAAGGTTCACGTTCACGCTGCTCTGTTAGTAAACACTTTTCATCTCCTCTGTCTGTGGTCATGGGTGGAACTAAAGAAAAGTAAACTTGGTATGACATACACACCAAACTAAAAACTATTAATTCATAGTTAGATATTATTCCTCCAATGCACTAAACGAACCAGAATCCCTAAAACAATGGATGCTGTGGAAATGACAACAGTATAGGTCAATTCCCTGGATGGCTCCTTTACCGGGTGGTAAAGTGGGTGTGCTGCCGCTGCAGAGCTTTGAACCATATGAGGAAGCTTAAAGAACCCCATACTCATTCCACACCCCCAAACTAGGGCTGGGCAATATCATATCCATATTATATCACAATTATTACCAGGGCTTCAGATGATGGGCGAAGCCAACTTTTCGCTACTATACGGACATTTATTTGCCCCCTGTTTGGTAAGTGGATTAGAAGTACACTTAAAATATTAATGAGGTAATATTAATGGCCAAAAAAAATCAACATAAATTTGGCATATCCTTATGTTTCATAAGCATGTCAGACTTTAAAGTGCAAAAAGTACCACCACATCACCAACTCTTTCTTGTTTATCCACAAGATCTCCCGTTTTAAGATGTCATAGCTGCTGAGCTGCTCCTTTCTCCACTACCACCTGTGGGCATCATCCTGAAGTATACCAAACCATAGTATACCAACAGTATCGTGGTGTGCTCTGCTACAGTGCATATCGCCCTGAAGTATACCAAACCATAGTATACCANCAACAGTATTGTGGTGTGCTCTGCTACAGTGCATATTGCCCTGAAGTATACCAAATCATAGTATAACAACAGTATCGTGATGTGCTCCGTTACAGTGCATATCGCCCTGAAGTATACCAAACCATAGTATACCAACAGTATTGTGGTGTGCTCTGCTACAGTGCATATTGCCCTGAAGTATACCAAATCATAGTATAACAACAGTATCGTGATGTGCTCCGTTACAGTGCATATCGCCCTGAAGTATACCA